GCCAAACTGCAACAAAAAAACAGCCAGGTGTTGTGGCAGGCGCCTGTAGTCCCAGCTGCTTGGCTTGGACTGCTGAGGCAAGAGAATCGCCTACGCCCAGGAGTTGGAGGTTGCTGTGAGCTGTATGATGCCATGGCACTCTATCTACTAAGGGCAATAAAGTAAGACTGTCTCTACAAAAAAAATAAAAAGAATGATACTGTAATATCTCAAATACAGTCTATACTCTTCCGCTTGTGCCAGAAATACTCTTATCACCTGCCCTTCCAACCCCCGCCCCACCAAGAGATGAGATCTTATTGTGTTGCTCAGGCTAGACATGACCTAGACACAAGTGATTGTCCCACCATGGCCCATTGACTATCTGGAACTGCCCAGTGCGTCTTTATTCCTTTCTGTTGTTGCATTATGAGCCAATCAAGGATTGCTTCTTGAATTTATTTTACCTTTTTTTTGTTTAAAACAGAGTCACAAGCTGTTGCCCTGGATAGAGTGCTGTAATGTCACAGCTCACAGCAACTTCAAACTCTTGGGCTTAAACAATTCTTTTGCCTCAGCCTCCCAAGTAGCTGGCACTACTGCCACAGTGCCTGGCTATTTTTTTTTTGCACTTGTCCTTGTTGTAGCTGGCCTAGGCTGGGTTCAAACCTGTTAGCCTTGGTGTATATGGCCAGCAACCTACGCACTGAGCTACAGGTGCTGCCTTTTTATTTTATTTTTGTTTTTGTTTTTTCTGACTGAGTGTCATTACATCACCCTTAGTAGAGTGCTATGGCATCACAGCTCACACAACCTCCCACTTCTAGGCTTAAGCAATTCTCTAGCCTCCCAAGTAGCTGGGGCTACTGGTGCCCACCACAACCCTGGCTATTTTTTTATTGCAGTGGTCATTATTTAGCTGGCCTGGGCTGGGTTTGAACCTGCCAGCCTTGGTGCACATGGTCAGCACTGTAACCACTGAGCTATCGGTGCCGAGCCTGTTTCTTGCATTTAATTATCAGTTCTCTTAAGATTGCTTCATTTAGAACAGTTTCCTGACCTTTTTGCCTTCTATAGCACAGACATTTTGAAAAGTCTAGACTAGTGCTCTTTCAGGATTTCTTTATTTTTCTCTCCTAATGATTATATTCATGTTAAATTTTTTTTTTGAGACAGAGTCTCACTTTGTTGCCCCCAGTAGAGTGCTGTGATGTCATAGCTCACAGCAACTTTAAACTCTTGGGCTCAACAATTCTCTTGCCTCAGCCTCCCAAGTAACTGGGACTGTAGGTCCTACCACAATGCCTGGCTATTTTTAGAGACAGGGTCTCGCTCTGGTTCTGAGCTAGTCTCAAACTCGTGAGCTCAGGCGATCCGCCTGCCTGGGTCTCTCAGAGTACTAGGATTATAGGCGTGAGCCACCACACCTGGCCTTCTCGTTAAATATTTTTGTGGGACACATATTTTTGTAAGATTACTACCCAGGTGACATTGTTACTTCCTGTTGCACTAGATTAGGTTAGCAATTTAAGAAATTTAACCCTTGTTAGTTTCAAGAAAAGTCTTCCAGATCAAATATACTCTTTTCAGATACCTTCATTTCTTAATCATTTTGTTTCTTCCAGACCCGCAAAACAGCTAGCTGGCTGGCAGCAGAGCTCTCAAAAGAAGGCCACCAGGTGGCCCTGCTGAGTGGAGAAATGATGGTGGAGCAGAGAGCTGCGGTGATTGAGCGCTTCCGAGAGGGCAAAGAGAAGGTTCTGGTGACCACCAACGTGTGTGCCCGCGGTGAGCAGAGAATGCATTTCAGTCTGCCAGGCTCAGGGTCTCAGGCCCTGTTAGCAAGAGAAATCCTGGTTTATAGAAAACTCAGGTGGTCTGAGGGAGATTGGTGATGGTGGTGGTGATATTCCTTGCTAGGAGAAACTATTCCAATTTCTCTCGGGTGGCGAGAACTTATACAGAAACCAGGAGTCTTGACGTGGAACAAGATGTACAGGCATCTGACTGGTAGAGGATGGAGGTTACTCAATTAGTTTTTAATTTATCTTGGTGTGTGTGGGGGGGGTCTTTGGTGCCAGAACTGAGAACCAATGAGTTTTCAGCTGCATCAACATGTTCCTATATCAGAAGCTTTCCTTATTGATGTCACAGTTGTGTTAGCGCCTGCAACATTCTGGGGTTTTTTCCATTTGGGTTCTGCTACATGCCTATATGTGCCCTCTCTTATACCCAGTTCCTACAGCTGGCCTCTCCCTGACTCTTTCTCTCCACCTGGAGTTGGTGGCTTCACTGTGGGCAATAGTCATTCTTTTTTATTGAGTTAAAATATGCAAAATGTACATTTACTACATTCTAGTATTGTGCAACCATTACCGCTGTCCAGTTCCAGAACATTTCATTACCCCAAGGAAACCCTATACCCATTAAGTTGTCACTCCCATTTATCCAAGACCCTGGCAGTAGTAGTCTGCTTTTTTTTTTTTATAGAAACAGTTTATGGCCCTCGGTAGGGTGCTGTGGTGTCACAGCTCACAGCAACCTCCAACTCCTGGGCTCAAGTGATTTTCTTGGTTCAGCCTCCCTGGTAGCTGGGACTATATGTGCTCACCTCAACTCTGGCTATTTTGTTTGTTGGTTTGTTTAGCAGACCTGGGGTGCGTTTGAACCCAGTAGCTCTGGACATGTGGCTGGCACTCTAACCACTGAGTTATGAGTGCCCAACCCATGTACAGCTTTTTGTCCAAATATGTGTTTTCAAGTTTTTTCACATATGCACAAAATGGAATTTCTGGGTCATGTTGTCATTCTTTATCAATAAACTAATTGAAGGACTGCCAAAATATTTTTCTAGTGATTGTATGTCATGTTTATTGAGGTCTAATGTGTGTCTAGGTGTATTAAGGTGTAATTTACATGAAATGAAATTTACCCTGTTCCAATGGATATTGTCAATGATGAGTATTGACAAACTGACATTCAGGAACTGCAGTCACAGTCAAAATGTGGAGTACCTCCATCACCTCTCCTTGTACTCCAGCCCTGGCAACTGTTCTGATGATTTATGTCACTAGTTTGGCCTTTCCAGAATGTCATGTGAATCTTTCAGTATATAGCCTTTTTCATCTGCTTCTGGCCCTCAGCATAGTGCTTTGGGGAATCATCCCTGTCATGCATGTTCTCATTTCATTTCTTTTTATGTTTCACCATGTTCCAAAGTATGGATGGACCATGTGACTGAGTTTTATCTCCCCGTCCTGTTCCCACTCTCCTTCATCCAGGCATTGATGTCGAACAGGTGTCCGTTGTCATCAACTTTGATCTTCCTGTGGACAAGGACGGGAACCCAGACAATGAGACCTACCTGCACCGAATTGGGCGCACTGGTCGCTTTGGCAAGAG